AAGGTCTATTGGAATTTGGACATTAACTTAAAATGAAGAGAGGCTTTCATCTTCAAGGTGCAGAGAGGCCTTAAATGAAGATCTAGTATGTTTTGAAGAACAATGGGTATTGTTCACTTAGTACTTCATGGCAACACTAGGGACACTGGCATTAATTTATTATTGTTCTTATTATTATTGCTAGTACTATTACTTTATTATAAAACAAAAGAGAGTGATATTACCATTCTAATGTCTAGAAGAAGGTAGGGTTGAAAGATCTTTTGATCTGAATTTTAGATATAATGCAATGAGAGCAATCAACAAATGATCAAGTTAAGATAAGGCAGGAGCCACAATAAAAAAAGTGCTTGTTCCATGTAACCATGTGCATATATTGACCATTCTTTTGTTCCTTGATTTTGATTTGGGAGCACATGCTTTTTTTCTTCTCTCTAAATGGAACACCTTCAAAGTAAGATTTTTAGGAAGGGTTAGAGTGCAGCTTTCACTCCTGTGCAGCAGGTCAATCATAACTGCTGTACACTACTAAAAGGCCATGTAACAGGGAGCCAGAAGCTCTCTGTTACATTACGTTAAGGAAACACCAGAAGTAAGAACAGCTCCAGGTGGCTCCATTAAGGCTGCGTACAGATGAGCATGGCCATGTGATATGTGGTGCTGCAGACATGTCTGCAATGCCACATACTGCACATTCAGCTGTTCTCCATGCTGCAAGACAGCAGCACAGGCTTGGGTTGTTTTACCCATTGTATATCCAGGGTTCCAAAAAAAAAAAAAAAGCAGAGCAGCACATGTGGGGGCAGCATGTGCCACTCAAAGCCAGAGCCTAGCCAGCTGGAGCCACACTCCAGCTACCGGCCAGGCTGCAAGAGGCAGGATCACCACTGAAGCATAGTGATGGCACATCTGGGCTAGGGACAAACATTCAAAATGCATGAACCTGAGTTGATCTAATCTTTGCAGGTTAGTCTAACCTGGCTAGGCTGAACTGGTTTGCAACTGCACAGACCTCCTCTCTGGACTGCAGTGGCTCAGGTTAGAACCTTGGGGATGCTAGAGCAGGCCTACCTTCTCTTTGACAGCACTGAGCTGAGGAGGGATGTGGACAGGCCCCACCAGGATGCTCTGGTTAGGGGAGGAGTTCTTTGCTCCCACCCCTCCTCCACTCCTGACCAGTGAGGGAGCCAGCAGGGAGTTGATAACATAGCATTTAGCACCCCATCAAGAAAACAAAAGCCTCTCTCATTACTTCAAGCTCTTGAACAACTTTTTCCAAGGAAGAAACTGAGGGACATTACCAGCTGACCTGTTGATTAGCTCCAAAAAGCCATAAGTGGTCACTGTCCTGTCTGCCTTTGTCCTGTCTACCTTACACAGACACCTCTCAGCATTAGCTAGCATAATACATGCTGGTTATGGTTTGTGCTGTGGGAGATGGGACGGGGGGAAATCCCTGCTTTAGCAGGGAGTGTGTGTGTGTGGGGGGGAAGATGGGGAAGCCAGCCCTGCTCTGGAGCACAGAGACCCACCCAGGGCTGCAAAGCATCTGGGATGCTGGGGGACTCTGGTTTAAGTTAAACCATGAAGGGGTTTGGGATAGAAATATTGCATAAATTGTTTTGACCCAAACCCATTAAGTACTGATACTACATTCAGCCAGCTTTATCTCAAGCCAGTTTCAGCTACTTTCAAACTGGTTTATGTGCACTGAATGTCTGTTCTGTTACAGGTTTAAACCAGTTTCTGATCACTTAAACTGGTTTATGTGTAATGTCTGTCCCTAGCCCCAAAGTCAAAGTCTGTTCTCAATGTAAGTGTTTGAAGCTCTAGCAGAATATTAATTGGCTCGGTTTGCATGTTGACTTAAGCATTGCTATGGGGAGCAAGAAAAAAAAATCAGGCTCCACTGTGGGAGCTCCCTACTGAATACTCAGGGCCACAGCTGTTGTCTGTGAAAAGGCAGAACTCCTAAATATATACTTCATGTCAGTATTCCTGATACCAAATGGGGGCTGTTTATCTGACCAGAGGCCCAGGGAACACAAGGAAGACACCAGAGTACATGAAATCAGTTCAGAACAGGTGAGAGATCTCCTACAACACTTGGACATTGTCAAGTCTGCCAGGCCAGATGACCTGCACCTGAGAGTCCTGAAAGAACTGGCTGAGCTCACAGCAGAGCCACTGGCCAAGTTGTTTGAAGAGTCATAGAACTTAGGAGTAGTCCCAGATGACTGGAAGAGGGTCAACGTGGTGCCCATCTTTAAGGAAAGGGAAGAGGGATGACCCTGCAAACTACAGACCAGTCAGTCTGACCTCGGTCCTGCATAAAATCATTGAGAAATCAGTTACAAGCTGGTAAATAATGGGGGGCTAAAAAGCAACCAGCATAGCTTCGTCAAGGGTAGCTCATGCCTGACAAACCTAGTGTTCCTTTATGGCCAGGTAACTAGCCATCTGGATAAGGGACATGAGGTTGATGTCATTTACTTAGACTTCAGTAAAGCCTTCGATTCTGTCTACCACAGGATTCTCAAATAAACTGGAGGGTCCTGGGCTGGACCAGTCCACAGTGAGGTTGGTAGACAACTGGCTTAGAGACTGCTCCCAGAGAGTTTGCAATCAGTGGGATGGCCTCATCTTGGAGGGCTGTCTCCAGTGGTGTCCTCCAGGGATCAGTTCTTGGATCCATGCTCTTTAATATACTTATTAATGATTTCGATGAAGGGGTGGAAATCTCAATGATTAAGTTTGAGGATGATACCAAGCTGTGAGGAAACATGGGCACACGGGAGGATAGGATAAAGATCCAAGACAACCTTGACAGACCAGATTCATGGGCAGAATGGAATCAGATGAGGTTAAACAGGGAGAAGCACAAGGTCCTTCATCTGCGTAGGAAGAATCCTCACCGCAACTATATGATGGATGATGTGCCACTGGCTGGCACAGCATCTGAATGAGACCTGGGGGTTGACCAGATTGACCAGACGAGACCTGGGGGTTGACCATCTTCACAATTGACCAGAAGATGAATATGAGCCAATGGTGCAATGAGGTTGCCAGAAGGGAAAATAAAACTCTGTCATGCATCAGCTGATGCGTGGCCAATAGATCCAGGGAGTTGCTCCCTGCTCTCTATTCAGTGTTGGTGAGGCCTCAGCTGGAGTTCTGTGTCCAGTTCTGGGCACCACACTTCAAGAAGGATATGGATAAGCTTGAGAGGGTACAAAGAAGGGCCACCTGTATGGTTAAGGGCATGGAGGGTAGGCACTATGAGGAGAGACTCCAGAATCTGGGCCTGTTCAGTCTGAGTCAGAGAAGGCTTAGAGGTGACTTGATAGCCATCTAAAAGTACATCAGGGATAAACTCTTCAGGAAGGCCCCTCAAGGGAGGCCAAGAACCAATGGACATAAACTAATAGAGGGTAAATTCAGGCTAGACATAAGAAAAACAACCTTTTTCTCTGTAACAGACACCAGAATCTAGAACTCACTCCCAGCAGAGGTGATACAGTCTTCCTCCGTGGAGGTGTTCAAGATGAGGCTGGACAGTAGGGCTGTGTGAAACACCATTGTTTTGCTTCAGTGTTTGCTTCACTGTTTTGAAGGGACAATGTTTCATTTCATCATTTTGTTGAGTTTTGAAGCACTGTCCCATTTTGTTTCACCATTTCACCTATAGGCTATAATGGGGAGTCATGATACCTAAAACATTGTCATTTATTTCCTGATTTGGATGAAATTGCAGAGATGGTAGCCCCTTCTGAGGGCATGAAGCCTGACAAGTTTCAAGGAGTTAGGTGTAGAGGTTTCTTGGAAACTGCACTTCAATGTCTTGAAAGCAAAACTTGCCAGCAATGGCAGCCTTCTGTCATCCGGCATGCAGACGTGGGCTTCTGAATCTGTGCCAGATGACAGGAGGCTGGCGCTGCTGCTTGGGACCGGCACTGGGTGCAGCCCACACGCAGTCCCGGGGAGGACAGATACTGCCAGTGGGCCCAGGCAGCAGCGATAGCCTCCTGTCATCTGGGTGTAGATCCAGGAACTCGCACCCCCAGTAGGAGTCCTGCACATCCCCACACCCTTCCAGGGGTGCAAGCCCCCGGATCTGTGTGCCAGATGACAGGAGGCTGTTGCTGCCATCTGGGACTGGTGCTGGGCATAGCCTGCACCCAGCAAGGCTCCATGGAGCTCAGCCTGGCAGCAGGAGGTGGAGCACACCCCTGGCTGCCTGCTTCCCACTGCTGGGCTGCATTCCAGTGAAACTTAGTGGCTTGCAGTCCCATGGAGAGATTTCCACCCCTTCATCGAAATCGTTAATAAGTATATTAAAGAGCATGGATCCAAGAACTGATCCCTGGAGGACACCACTGGAGACAGCCCTCCAAGATGAGGCCATCCCACTGATTGCAAACTCTCTGGGAGCAGTCTCTAAGCCAGTTGTCTACCAGCCTCACTGTGGACTGGTCCAGCCCTGTACCCTCCAGTTTATTTCACTGGGCTCAGCTCCAAGCAGCTTGCAGAGCCAATCAGAGCACAGCTTGGTGGTGGGAGGCGGGCAGCCCCACAAAGCGCAGCCCAGTGATGAGAGGTGAGGAGAGCCAGGGCTGCACTCCCCGCTGGGCTGAGCTACATGGGGCTGCAAGCCTCTTGGAGCACAGCCCTGGCTTTCCCCTGCCTCCTACCACTGGGCTGCTTCAAAATTCAAAACATCTCAAACGTTTAGAAATGTTTTGAGTGCCCTCATTTTGTTTTGAAGCTGTTTTTATGCTTTTTGTTTCCTTTTGATTTCACTGTTTCAAGCTCAAAACAGCTTTGAAATGAAACACTCGGCAAAATTTTGCACAGCCCTGCTGTACAGGCACCTTATTGAGCTTGTCTAAGCCCAATAACTTCCTGCCCACAGCAGGAGATTGGACTTGATGATCTTACAGGTCCCTTTTGGTTCTATGATTCTATGCCTAGCTATTGTGCCTTGGGGTCATGAAAGTGATTTAGATTAACCCAGTTAGATATCTGAGAAACCTATGAAGCAAATAGGAAGACTTAGACCTGTGAAGGGGCAAACATTTTGGTAGAAATGTCACAAGGAAAGCCCCACAATCTCCCTGAGTTCCTCTCCAATCACCTTCTCTGCCTTATCTGCTGCTCTGCTTTCTTCTTCTTATCCTATCTTCTGTCTCTCCTGCTCCCTCTGTGATCTGCTATGTACCACAAACAGAGGCTGCCTGTCCACTTGTGGCATGCATACCACTGGTTGGCCACCGTTGGCCTAGACAGTTCAAACTTGAGATACGCATATGTGCTGGACCTCTGCATAGAGAGAAAGGGGACAGTGTTTTCAGGAGGAGATTTACACAAGGTTGTTGCTGATTGGGTAGCTCACTACAGTCAGTCAGTTAAGAAATAACAGAGCTGTCAGCCTGAGTTCCTTGAGCCTCAGATGCAGGGGATCACCCAACATTCTCATGAAAGCATGGTCTCCATAAGAAAAAGCTCCAGGGAGCAGGGCTCAGGGAGAGCTCTAGGACAGGGTGTCCAACCTTTTTGAATGTGAGGCCAGATCATGAACTTTTTATTACCCAGTGGGCTGGTGAGCCATATTCAAAGACATCACAGGAAGTGGTATCACATCACGAAGTGATGTCACGTGACCTTTGACACCAATGAAGTTGCAGGAAGTGACAATGAAATGTGTCTGGAAATGTGGTTTAAAATCCAAAATAAAAACAATATAAAAGCAAGAATGAAATAATACCAAACACTAGTCTAAAATAAACACTTCTACTCACTTCTCAATGAATGAAAGAAGCATAATGTAAGTCGACAGATCAAATGTGGAAAAGATATCAGCCAGAGTGGAAACTAATCAAAGCAACAAAATATGGGCATTTTTTAGAATAATCTTCAAGAATATTTACTTTTATTGAATTAATAACTTGTTAGTAACACATCTTTAACAAGTAGTAACAAGTTGAACCCCCAATCCCGCACAAAGAGAAACACAAGCAAACACAATCCAAACACTGGACGGTATTTTTACACACCTGGTGCCCCGCCGGCCTCATGCCATGTCCGGGTTGACATGGTGCTGCAGGAGCTGCTTGGCTACAATTGGGTTGGCCTGGTGCTGGAGAAGCCACAGGGCCAGGCCAGGGTTGACTTGGGGCCCACCCGGCCTGTCGGTGCCATGCCTGGGTTGACATGGTGCTGCAGAACCCACCTGGGCAGAACCTGGTTAGCACCGGCCAGGAAAAGCAGCATGCAGCTGAAGCCAGCTTCCCATGTGCTGCTGGGGATGGAAGGAGGCTGGCCAGGTTTGGACCTGGCAGCAGACGCAGTGGCAGAGCTGTATGCCACTCGGGACTGGCCAGTGCAGGCTCGTCCTGTCCCGAGTGGCACATGGCTCCACCGCCGCTTCTGCTGGCCGGTGCAGACCTGGCTGGGCTCCTCCTGTCCCCAGCAGCACATGAGAAGCAGCCACCTCGGGGCCTTTCGTGCAGGTGGCCAGGCCTGGAGAGCCACAGTGCCTGGGGGGAGATTGGCCGGGGGAGCAGGTGCCACCTTGCTGTGAGGCAGGGCAGGGCAGGGCAGCGTGGCTGGCTTGAAGCAGGCAGGTGAGGAGGCAGGTGCGGGCCAGGAGTGCCAGCAGCCGCTGCTTGGCCTCCTGCGCAGGGCTGCTCCGGCAGCACAGGGCATGGGCACAGGCTTGTGTCGGGGCAAGGAGGTGGGGGCAGGAGCACAGGTACTCCCGGACATGCATCCTCCCCGCCAGCAACCGGCATGTCCCAGGCCCAAGAGCAGAGCCGCTCTTCCGCCACCCAGCGGCAAAGTTCTCCCATGAAGACTCCGTCCTGCCCCTGCCATGAGCCCACAGCACCGGCTGCAGCCACTTGGGCAGGCACCAGCTCCTTGGGGTGGGTGGGAGTTTGGGGCGGCTCAGCAGCCACAGCCAGTGCCGCTTGCAGCCGGGGAGGGGTCCGGCCCCATGAGGGACCTGACCAGGCCGCGCCACACTGACACAGTGTGTGTGGGAACCTTGTCCCTTCCCCAGCCCTTCAGCAGCCATTAGGAAGCTGCTGAGGGGCTGGGGGAGAGACAAGGGGTGGGAACAAAAGTAAACTGTGTTTACTTTCATTTCCTGTCGCAGCACTGCAAGCCACAGAAAATGCCTTGGTGGGCCGCATGGCAGCCCGCGGGCTGTATGTTGGACAAGCCTGCTCTAGGACATTCATCTTTCTCCTAAAATACTGAATAAGACAGACAGAATGCAGCTGTTTTTGGACTTGGGAAATATACCTAGTGTAAAACATGAATAGTAATTTGAATTGCCTGCCACCAGGCAGCACAGAGACAGATGAATGCACATTTTTTAGAGAGATTTAGTAGCCACGTTCTTTCTCATTTAATATCCAGGGCCTCTGGAGTTCTAGGTAGAGTTTGGATAGCTCCCTGCACCACTATGCAATGTAAAGTAGCTATGATAAGAGTGAGACACAAAGGTGCCTACTACAGGCCAGGCCTAAACTTGTATATGTTTAGACCTTTGCCACCCAAAACGGAAGCATGTAATTATTGCATTTAGATATATAATGAGTTACAGGGCTGCCAGTAAAAGATTTGACTTGCTCTTTAGTACAGTGTCTATGAAACCAATTTCAATCTAGACCTTACCCTTTAATAGGTATATGTTGTTAAACCATACACGTTTTTAGACTCAAGGCACTGCTCAGAAAGTGGCAGTTCTTTCCTTTCATTCATTTTTGACTACATAAAAATAATACAGCAATGTTTTCTGTTACAATGCATTGAGACCTAAATAAGGCAAAATGTTTTTGGTGCTATGGATTCCCATTTAAAATATCGGTGTTTATCTTGTGCATTGTATGGAGATGTTTGCACAGTTAACAGTGCTAATATCGTGTGGCACCCCACAACACCCTCAGAAAGGTCTTAAAACACCTCAGGGTACTGTGACACACTACATGAGAACAGCTGTGCTAGACAGAAGGCTTGGCAGTTTCAAGAAACTTTCTTGTCATTTGTATTTCTGAGAACTAATCATAATTAGTTATTTGGACCCTGGGAGGTACCAATTTAACAAGGTTTATTACCGTGAGCAAGCTTTGGTTCTGAAATGGAAAGGAGATTTCCTATTCCTTTTCTCTGATGTGCCTGCACCTGACTAATAACTGCTCGTAGCTTCCTAAAATGTCACCAACACAATTAACTCTTGAACCTGGATTAGTGTCAATGTGTTAATTTAGCACAGTTGTTAACCATGACTTTTGGAAGACCTTAGCATGACTGTGAAATTACAACCTGGAAATAGACAAACTATATAAAGTTCCACAAATCATTCGTTATTTTCAATGTGTTTAAAACTAAAACTGTACAGGGTGCACCTATATGTGAAATTAATGTGACACAATATGTGCTGGAGTTTATTGCTTCTGGGCACCATGTCTTAATGTGCACCCAGGCCACAGCATGTAGAGCCTGGTTGGAGCAGCCCCAGCTGGCAGGGGACATGAGGGGGGTGCAGTCAGCCAGCCAGCCAGGGGCTGCTCTGACCCAGTTCTTCATGCTGTGGAGGGGCTGGGTGGGGCACATGTCTGCTTCAGGGTGGGGCTAGCCAGAAGGCAACCCCCATACTGAAGCACCTTCATGCCCCAACCAGCCCCATCAGTACTTACACATGCATTGCTGCACGCTAAAAAAACCACCATAGGATAGTACTTGTTTTTACAAATACTAACCTAAGGCAGTGTTATTTGGTTTCTTGAGGTCCATTAAGGACACAGGTTGATTAGTACAGAGATGTAAATAGTTTTTTAAGAATTATAGTATACTGTTGGTCATTTATAATGTGTTGTGACATAATCTTGTTCTTTGTGAAGAAAGAGAAATGTGGAGTGATCATAGAGTTCTGGTCCTCCACACCCACTGGACAGGCTGTAGTAGGGGGATTGTAATATAGGTTGGGCAGTCTCCAGAGCCAGATTACAACCCACGCTATAGCTGCATGTCTGTCTCCCCATCACACCACAGTAGTTGCATAAATAATGATTTGGTTAGACACAGATAAGGAATATACACAGGAGCTGCATTGGAAGTGTGTTTCCTGTTTTGTAATCATTTTCAGGACCACCAAAGTTCCCTCTCACCCACTTTCCCCCCTCCCTCCATTTCAATCAGAATGAAAAGTTAAAATTTTAGTTTTGTGTGAACTATAATTCCAAAAATAATATTAATTCAAATTGATCAAAATTTATTTAGTAGTTCTGAGAAGTTCAGTTTATTTTTAACTCTATTTTTAAACAGTTGTTTCAAACAGAAAATTTCAATGTAAAAATGGGAATTTTTGACCATTTCAAAAAAATTTTTCAAAAAAATAAATGGAATATTTTATTGAAATTTAACTCTTCTCAAGAAGAGTAGTTATTTTTGACAGGTTTTTTTTCAATGAAAAATGTTTTGTCAAAAAAAATTGCACTACAGTCTTGGTGAACAATAGTGAGTGGATACCTAACAATAAGTATGGACACAAATGGATCATGAGGATTCCAGCTACTGATGGTTTTAGTATGACTGTGGTAGCAAACATCTCAGTGCCTCTAGTTGGTAGGTATCCAAAGTACCCAGCACACACACTGCTATCTTGGATAACATTTAAAGTTCATCTAGATTACTAAGTACTGGATTTAGGGTTTTCTGCCTGTGAGGTGCTCAAGGACTGTCAGCAATATTTAAACTTGAATTTTAGGGGGCACTGAGGGATGCAGGAGAATAAATGAATGGGTAATCATACACAAATAGGGTCGGAAAGAACCCCCAGAGGTCACTGGTCTAACCGTCTGCCTGGAGCATCCCTATTCAAACCATCCTATGCAAATCCATTGTCTAACATTTGTGAAAGTACTCAGTCAACCCTGACAACCACAAGCCATAACACCCTAACCTTCCACAGGTAAAGCAGGGGAACTGTGGCAGCCAACATCCTGCTGCTGCAAACCTTGTTTAAAAAATGCTTGAGAGATTGAAGGAAAGGGCCATGCCCCTTGCTAAAATCCCCACAGTTCATACCAACCTGACCATGAGGTAAAATTCCTTTCTGACTCTAAATATGGTTATCAGTCTGACCTTGAGCAGGGAAAGACATACACAAGGACAGTTGGGGGTTGCTATGGCTTTGTTAGGCTAAATGCATATTTATTCTTAATTTAACAAAACCCTAAATTTTCATAATGGCTACAGGGTTTTTAGTGCTGAATTCAAAAATAAAGATCAGTGTGATTACTATTATTATTAATAAACATAGGGACAACTACAATGTGATTAGGGAATGTAAGCAATACTTGAGCATGGTTAACACCTGAGTAGGTTCAGGCTGGACATCAGGGAGTAAAAAGAAGGCACTGGGTAACGTGGGGCCCCTGCTAGACATGCATGGCAATCTGGTGGTTGTACCAGATGATAAAGCTGACCTCTTTAACAAATTCTTTACCTCCATATTTCTGAGCAGGGACAGGGACATCCCCCCACCGGGATCCCAGACAAACTCAAGAGAGGCACAGCCGGGCCCAGGGTCATAGAAGACCTGGTCAGGGAACTTCTGGTGGGACTGGACATATTCAAATCAGCAGATCCAGATGATCTCCACCCTTGGGTGCTGAGGAAATTGGCAGAGGACATTGCAGGACCCCTAGCACAGCTCTAAGAGCACTTGTGGTGCTCTGGCGAGGTACCAGAGGGTTGGAAAGGGCCAATGTGGTCCCCATTTTCAAAAAAGGGAGGAAGGAAGACCCATTAGTCTACTATAGGCCCATTAGTCTTACCTCGGTCCTGGGGAAGCTGTTTGAGAAAATTATCCAGGAGCACATCTGTGAGGGACCAGCAGGGGAAATTATGCTTAGGGGCAACCAACATGGGATCATTAGAGGCAGGTCCTGTCAGACCAACCTGGTTGCCTTTTACGACCAGGTCACAAAATACTTGGATGCAGGTATCACAGTGGACGTAGTCTTTCTGGACTTTAGGAAGGCCTTTGACACTGTCTCTCACCCCATTCTCATCAAAAAATAAGGCAACTGTGATGTCAATGCCTACACAATCAGATGGGTCACAAATTGGCTGGAGGACCACACTCAGAGATTGGTGGTGGATGGGTCATTTTCGACCTGGAGGGATGTGGGCAGTGGGGTTCCCCAGGGCTCGGTCCTTGGGCCTATACTGTTCAACAACTTCATCAGTGACATGGACAAGGGGGTGAAAAGCACCTTGTTCAAGTTTGTGGATGACACTAAGATGTGGGAGAAGTGGACATGTTAGAAGGGAGGGACAGGCTACAGCTAGACCTGGACAGGTTAGAAGGGTGGGCGGATGAGAATAGGATGGGTTTCAATACTGCAAGTGCAAGGTACTGCACCTGGGGAGGAAGAACCAGCAGCATATCTATAGGTTGGGGAACTCCCTTCTCATCAACACAGAGGCAGAAAAGGACCTTGGAGTCATTATTGATTCCAAAGTGAACATGGGCTGTCAATGCGAGGATGCCGTCAGTAGGGCTAACCGCACCTTGTCATGTATCCACAGATGCATCCCGAGTAGTTCCAAGGAGGTGATCCTCCCATTCTATGCGACTTTGGTCAGGCTGCAGTTGGAGTACTGTGTCCAGTTCTGGGTGCTGCACTTCAGGAGGGATGTGAACAGCATCGAGAGGGTCCAAAGGAGGGCCACTCGCATGATCAGGGGCAGCAGGGTAGTGCATATGAGGCTACAGGATCTGAACCTGTTCAGCCTTCACAAAAGAAGGCTGAGAGAGGATCTGGTGGCCGTCTATAAACTTAACAAGGGGGACCAGCAGGGAACGGGAGAGACCCTGTTCCCCCGAGTACTACCAGGAATAACTAGGAATAACGGCCGTAAGCTGACTGACAGTAGGTTCAGGCTGGATATCAGGAAGCACTACTTCACAGTCAGGGCGGCTAGCATCTGAAAACAACTTCCAATGCAACTGGTGCTTGCTTCTACCCTGGGGGTCTTCAAAAGTAGGCTAGATAATCACCTGGCCGGGATTGTTCGACTCCAGCATTCTTTTCTACTCATGGCAGAGGATTGGACTTGACGATCTGCTCAGGTCCCTTCCAAGCCTACCAACTATGAAACTATGAAATCCCTTTGAGGTGAGCCTACTCAAAAAAAATGTGTGGTCTGGTCAAAACAGATAGCTAGACATGAATGGGGAAGGTTTGCTCTACTGAGCTCTTGTATGATAGAACCATTGCTCTAGCAGGCATTTCTCACAAAGAATTCTGGCTAATTTAGCTTGTTTTCCATGGCTGGACAGGTCCTCCTGGAGAAGGTAGAAATCATTACTTGTACCATCACTGAGATGCTCCAGAGCACTTCTAAACAGTGTAATAATATTTTAATGTTTATACAAAACTAAACTAGTTTGTAGCTGATGAAAACTTTGGTGAAAACATTTGACAACTTCTTGTTGAATTCATCAAATTTGTTCAGCCAGGAAACCTACCCCTCCACAACTGAAGTGTTTTGTTTAGATATATTTTTGTTTGTTTTATTTTTTCCAATATAATCTTTAAAAATCCTTTTAAATATCTGAAAATTAAATAAACATTTTGTGCATTTGGAAATGTTATCTTTATTTTTTCAGATCACCATAAAATAATTTCTAAAAAGTCCTCCTTTTTTTTCCCCCTCCTCCCAAATTTTATTTTGTTTGGTGCTTTGAAAACAGAAATCAGTCATTTGCACAGAGATTCAAAAAGCTTGAGGTAGAATCAATCTAATCCAAGTTGGTTTCTCTAAAATGCATAGATTAGATTTGGAGCAAATGGAACACGTTCACTGTTTGGTTGTTGGGGGGCTGTGACAGCCCAGTTATGACAGCCCAAAGCAGCTAGTATGTTTCCCTGTGAGGGGAGAATAGTGGAGAGGGGCTTCAAAGGCATCTGGGTTGTCAGTGGACAGTGACTGAAGTTGAGTCAGGAGGAGATCTGGTGCAGAAGGTCAATAGACTGGTCTAAACTAAACCAATTAAATCTAATACTACCTCCGACCAAGTCAATCTTAGACTGGGTTCTTCCATTTTTAAACCAGTCTAAGTGCACTCAACTTCTATTCTGTTACAGGTTTTCAGCCATTTATACTAGTTTATGTGTACTGTCTGTACCTAGCAATAGCCACAGTCTATACCAATCCAGTGAAAAACATTCACTGATTGGAGTTATTCTCAAAAGATTTTTAAATTAGAAGAATATATTTTGCCATATGCTCCTGTATTATACAGAACCATAAAAACAGGGAAGTATGCCCAACTGTACAACAGAAACCTGCTAACAGACAGTTTTTTATGATGACACTATAAACTAAAAAGGTGAAATCTGAGCCCTTTAAACCTCATACAGGTCCTGGATTCTGGGTTAAATTTATTCAACTAGCTACAGCTGTGCACAGCTGAATGTATTATTTATTTATGATAGTGTAGATGGAGAAATTGAGGAGAAGCACAGTTCTTTCTGGTTTAGATTTTGTGATACTTTATCTGGAGTAGCAATACAGCTTGTGACAAGCATTATACCACCCATGTCTTATATAGTAACCAAAAGGTAAGAGATTATATATCTTAGCAGTCAAGTTACAGTATCTTTTATAAATGTTTTGGTAAAACTTCCTGTTAGAATGTTCCTCATGACCAGTTCTGACAATGGACTTGGAAATCACTTTATGAAGCCAAGACATTCTTTCCTGATGTTAGAAATGTGAATGATGCACTCTCCCTCTACTAAAGTGTTCGAGGCACTGATTTTATTTTTCCCCGCTGCTTAATCTGTTACCATCCCACTTCTCTTCCTTCATAGTAAAGCACACTTGCTGAATGCTAGACTGATTGAATTCACACTATCTTACTACATGCACCTGTTTTCTGCCATACTTATGCCACTGTTTATACTACCTCTGAATCTAGAGCCTAGTTAGTGAAGTGTATACTGAAAATGCGTATTAAAATAATATGTAATACTAAAAAATGACTTGTGAATGCTAATAATTTATTTATTATGAATTATCTTGTAGTGAGTTTTCAATCTGGTTTGATTTAATATGGCTACAATAAAATAAACCTCAAAAAAGAATAATGTTGATCTTCTTTACTGTGTTCTAGTTGGTTCTTTTCTGAGCTTATCATTGTATCTGAGTACCTTCTAATAGTATAGTGTGAACGTTCAAGTGTCATGCATATATTTGGTCCTTCATCCACTACTAAAAGGGAGAAACATACATGGTGGAATATTTTTGTTGGGTTGTGTTTTAATATTTATGTTACTATCTATGCATTTATGTTAGAGACTGTGAAAGGCACCCTGTACGTGGGACAAAAGATGGTGATTCTCGTGATGCTCTTTCATTCCAACAGAATTCATTCCACAGTCTTGGACTAGTGCCACAACCAAGGTCTTTTTGTCACACAGTTGATCTTTGTTGTAGTGTAGCCAAGAAGTGGCAAGGATGTGCATCATTTTATTTCAGCTTTGTTGGAAGTGCCTTAATAGATGAACTGTCTTCCAATAAAGAATCATTGAGTCCAGAAATAACTGAAGAGGACAATCTTTGACTGCAAGTATGGCAACTAGTACAAGGAGTAAGGATTGAGTTTTGATAATATTATTCATAGATTCATAGATGCTAGGGTCAGAAGGGACCTCAACAGATCATTGAGTCTGA